GACGGTAGGGGAGGGGACGGGAAGGGGCAAAATGTTCACTTCCACACTCCTGCCCCTCTCCAAATTTTTGACCGTCACTCACCTCACCCCTTTGGTTTCTTTCCCTCCCTAGCCTTCCGCTACTATTAAAATCAAAGATAACGGCCATTTTTCGCTAAGAAAATACTGAGCACTCGCTTGCCCAAATTACGCCTGCTGTTCGTGCGACTAAATCACAGGAGAAAGGGAGAGATAACGATCTGAAATGGATCCTATTGTGACATGTAACTGATTGGTCGAGAGAGTGTTAGGGAGTTTTGTAAACCAATCACAGAGGGTAGAAAGGATATACCACTACAACACCGGATTGTTTTTGACACTTAAGGAAAAACTGACCCATAGCAGACGATTAATACTAAATTGAAGTTTGAAAAGAAACTGTACAGTGTTTTACCCACCTCTTTCCATGTCTTTGTGCTGTTTGCCTTTCTGGCGCCGTCGACAGCTGCCTGGTATTCTCCTAAGTGTACTAAAGTGGAAGCTAATTTAGCAAAATTCGACACGTTGTTATAAAGAAGTTTGGCAGCGTCGAACATTTTCTCGTCAAAGCATCGGTCGCCAACCTGCAAGAACAGATAGGAACAATTACCAACAGATGATATAATTAGACGTTTTCTTGCGTAGCATTGCTGAGTATTTTTACGAGTCAAAATACAAAATACGAATAAAAATACTCAGCGATACGACACACCAAAACGTCTAATAAATGATTTATTACCCAATACGCCAAATTGTTATTTCAGTGCGGGCCGGGCGAATTTCGCGGATATTTATTTATGGGGAGTGCGTGACGGAAGTATGCGAAGCGGAACGGAATTGGCGCGTTGTCGTATTGCTGTTTCTATTTTCTTACATAAATGGTGAAATTTCTTTGTCGTCTAACTGCTTTTCTTCATTCGATTTCTCAAATAAACTTGGATTAATATTCGCCAGCCATTCTGACTCTTCGTCGTCAGAAAAATTATTTAAATTTGTCCGCCATTTTTTTTTTGTAACTTCAATTCAGTTCGTCACTTGCGCGATGCGAGAAAACCTGTCTAACCGGTTCTCTGGGGTACAAATACCGGTGATATTTGTATTCTAAGGAGTGTAGGTGGATAATAATGTCCACTACAGGCATTAGAGACCAACTATCAATAACGAGAAACAAAGAGCAAAGATTCCCAGCACTTACCTGCTGAATTTGAGCGTGGTTTGGTCCTGATATAAATTCTTCGAGCTCCGCAAGGCGGTTAGTTTTGGCGAAGGCAAAAATCAGTTCCGTTTCTACAAATGAATCTCTGGACTTTTTCTGGGCCATCTGCAGGAAGCGCACGACATCTTCAAAGTTTCCTGAAAACAACAGAAAACGAACAGACGGTTAATTTAGTTCACCTGATATGCTGAAAGAACCAGTCAGTAACTGACCGACTTTCAAAGCCAATCACGATCATGAAAATGTTCTACACGTACAGCTAACAAGAAATCAAAGTACAGTAAAACTTGTATTCAGCAGCACTGGATATTATAGGGGTAAAGTTACATGTTAACCACTTCTCAGAGCTGAGAGTTACCAGCATCAACACAACCCCAGGGCTCGACACTAACTTTTCAACTTACTAGCCAAGTGGCTAGTGACATCTTAGATGTTACGACAATTTCAGTTTGTTTACTAGCCAAATTGGCTTGTGGAAATCGAAAACCACAAGCCAAAACTGAATTTCTACTAGTCTGTGGCTAGTTGGCTAGTGTTAGAGTCGAGCCCTGAACCAAACACGATTTCCCTACTGGTCAAGGTATGGTGTCATTTCGAACTGCTTCTCGCCGAGTTTTGAATGGAAAAGCTACGTAATATTATTATGGATCAGGGATTACTTTCACCACTGAATGATAACTGTGCTGGTACCTTCTCTGTTGGCTGTTTCAACGACCTCTGTATAAGCAGACGGATCATCAGCTTTTATAAATGAATCAATCGCCTCTTTAACCATGTTCTTCTGCAGCTGGGCTTTGGCTAAAAGACTCCATACTGCGGCCTCGTTGCATCGCTCGGCAAACTCGTACGCACGGTCCAAATTTTGTACATTCTCTATCAAAACCTACAGAAGAGCAGAACCAAAAAAAGAAGTTTATATTTATCCAGTCCGTTACGATTATTAACGAAATATTTAGCAAAGGAAATCATCAACGAACTACATCAACAAATACTTTACAAGGGTGCTTTTCCATAGAGTGTCTTTGAT